CAAATCAAACATCCAGTCACCTGTGTTCCTGGCTGTCTTCTCAGCAGCATTTGACCAGGTGATGACTTTCTTTGAAACGTTCCTCTCATGGCTTCCTAGACACTCTTCCTGGTGGTGGCTCTGCCTCTCTGGTCCCTCCTTCTTTCTCCTTTGCTCATTCCTCCTCCTCCCAGCCTTGACGTATTAAACTGGCCCAGGGTTCGGTTTTCTGACCACACTGCCTATTCTCACTTCTTAGTGACCTCATCTAGCGACATGGATTGATATTCCTTTTGATGCCAATGATTGCCAATGAGTACTTCTCTCCCAACCTGCCCATAAAACAGGAGCTTATGCCCATGTGCATGGAGGCACTCAGATAACCAACTCCAGAGCTAATGTTTCTGCCTGCCATAGGAAACTTCCTATCAGAAATCCTCTTATCCAGTATGATGAAAGGTTAAATTTTTTTAAAGTTGAAAATTCTCAGTGTGAAGCAGAGATTCATTAAAAAACAGAAAAAGACATATATCTTACACATATTATTTTTGTTTAAAACACAAAGGTTCATTCCATTTGTCAATCTCTTCATAGAGGACCAAAGCCTTTTCTTTGAATGTGGGCCCAGAGATAAATACTCCATATCATCTTTCTTGCATAAACTATAACACACTCAATTTCCCATGATTTCAAGTGTCATTTTATCTTAAATAGAACAAGAACATAAAGATACCAACAAAGCATTCCAAATACAGAATGCTTCTAGATTTTTATTATTTTTGTCAATCTTTTATAGTGGGCTTGCCCATATTTAATTCTACAGCAATTTTTCATAAAACAACTCAGCTTTTCCAAGTTAGTTTTCAGACTATTCTCTTAGTTTTCAAACAGATAACTCTCTTTTTAAACTTACTGCTCATCAGTTTGAGACAATGAATTATGTAACAACAATGATTAAAACAGCAAGCATAATGAGGATATTGGTGGCATATAATTCAACTGAAAGGAACAGAGGCAGATGGCACACCAAAAGGTATTCTATTAGCTTTGGGTGTTTTAGGCGCTATTGGCATTAAGTAATATGTTTTATGGTGAAAATGGAAAGCACTGGTCAATCTGAGACCACTAGGTTGGAGATGAGTTAAGAAAGGTCTTGATTTCCACTGCTTACTTCTACCACCAGGAAGCCGTATTTCCCCAGTTCTACTCTTTTAGTAAATGGCAATATCCAACTGCTCAGCTAAAACCCTTAAATCCTCTGCTCAGCTAAAACCCTTAATTCCTCTCTGTCTTACCAATAACTAAGGCATCAATATTGTCTTTCTAGAAAACCTCAAAATATTTTCTGGATATATTCACTTATCTTCATCTCCACCTCCATCACCTATAGTCCAAGGTACCATAATCGCCTAACTGTAATGACTTCCTAATTAGTCTACCAACTTCTATTCTTACCTCCCCCTTGGACTGATTCTTCACATAGTAGCCCACAGAGAAGTTTGCAAAATGTGTTTGAGACAGCACTGCTTCCCTACTTCAAATTCTTCGGTGGCTAGCCATTATTCTTGAATAAAATTAAAACTCCTTGCTATGATCTACCAGGAGCTAGCCCATACCTACTTCCGCAGCTTCATCTCATACCATTCTCCCCCTGCTCACTGACTCTCCCTCTGCCTTTGAGCACACTGACTCTCCCTCTGCATTCCTTTAATACGCCAAACCCCACAGAGCCTCTGCACATGCAGCTCATTCTGCCTGGAACACTCATCCACTGACTCTTCATAAAAGTCACTCAATTTTCAGATGTCACCTCAAATGTTGTCTCCTCACAGGGGTCTCTGTTGATCATTCTATTTAATAAAGTCTTCCTTCAGACTCTCACATCCAAGTTGCTCTACGTCACCTCATTTTGTTCTTTTTTTCCTTCATAACAGTTACCAGCTATCTTAATTATATGCTAATATGTCTCCTTCTGCTAAAATGTAAGGTCTCATTACAGCATGAGCTTCCTCCATCTTGTTCACCATTATTTTCTTACAGTTATAAGAAAGTACCCAGTTCAGTACCATTTCCTGAATGGAAAAATGAACTACTTGAATAATTCCAGCTGAAGATCTTTTCTATGAGATGCAGTGAAATTTCTATACATAAAAATCCTAACCTGATGTCCACAGAAAGACCAGTATGAGAATTTCATAGCAGGTTATTCATAATAGAAAACTGGAAACAAACCAAATGTCCATCAACATGAAAACAGGTAAACAAATCAATGTATATTCATATTAGGAAATATTACTTAGTAATAAAAGAGAATAAACCAGTGATACAACATTTAATAAAAGCTTTTTGTGAAAGAGGCCAAACAGAAAAGAGTACATTCTGTATAATTCCATTTATATAATGTTCAGAGCAAGAAAAAGTATTTATTGTAATAAAAATCAGAACATGGTTTCCCATGTTGCCCATGCTGGTCTCAACTCCTGGGCTCTAGTAATCCACCTGCGTTGGCCTCTCAAAGTACTGGGATTACAGGCCTGAGCCACTGCACTCGGCCTATCATAAATTTTTAAAAAGGCAAAAAAGTCCTAAATTCATTCACCCACACATCACACCCGATGCAGAAACCCAAGAAATAGACTATCCAGCATCATATCAAGATCTACTTATTAATCTGTTAATTTACCTTCTAAATTCTTACTCTTCACTGGCAGAAAATTAAAAAGGTTTGCACCAAACTGACTGTCTCATGGCAACACACTAAGAAAATATCCATCATTACAAAAGACGATTTATTATGCATTTATATATGGGCAAATGGCTATTTACATGTGTGTGTATGGCTGCCTATAAGTTGGAGGTTAACTGGGAAGAAGCATAGAAGAACTGGAAATATTATATATCTTGATAGGCGTATGGTTTACATGGGTATATATGTCAATAAAAACTGATTAAATCATTTACTCTGCAAATTTTATTACAATTTTTTTTTTTTTTGGGGGCGGGGGATGGAGTTTCGCTCTTGTTACCCAGGCTGGAGTGCAATGGCGCGATCTCGGCTCAACGCAACCTCCGCCTCCTGGGTTCAGGCAATTCTCCTGCCTCAGCCTCCTGAGTAGCTGGGATTACAGGCACGCGCCACCATGCCCAGCTGATTTTTTGTATTTTTAGTAGAGACGGGGTTTCACCATGTTGATCAGGATGGTCTCGATCTCTTGACCTCGTGATCCACCCGCCTCGGCCTCCCAAAGTGCTGGGATTACAGGCGTGGGCTACCACATCCGGCCTTACAATTTTTTTTTGAGATGTGATCTCACTCCATCACCCAAGCTAGAGCACAATGGCATGATCATGGCTCACTGCAGCCTTGACTTCCCAGACTCAGGTGATTCTCCCACCTCAGCCTCCCTAGTAGCTGGGACCACAGGCATGTACCATCACATCTAGCTAATTTTTTGTATTTTTTGTAGAGATAGCGTTTCCCATGTTGTCCATGCTGGTCTCAATTACCGGGCTCCAGTAATTCACCCACCTCAGCCTCCCAAAGTATTAGGATTACTGGCATGATCCACTGCACTCAGCCTATCATAAATTTAAAAAGGCAAAAAAGTCCTGAATTCATTCACCCACACATCACATCCAAGGCAGATACCCAAGAAACAGTCTATCCATCATCATATCAAGATCTACTTATTAATTTGTTCATTCGCCTTCTAAATTCTTGCTCTTTGCTGGCAGAAAATTAAAAAGCTTTGTGCCAAACTGATTGTCTCATGGCAACACACTAAGAAAATATCCATCACTACAAAAGATGATTATGCATTTATATATAGGCAAACCATGTAAAACTATGACAAAAAGGACAAAACAGTATGTATCCATTACAGAAGAACTAAACAATAAAGCATATTGATAGATGCTAAGGTACATCAAATGATTATGTGACCTGGAACACCCACCATGAGCCATATGGAAGGGACCCCTAAGCCACAGGCTGGGCAAGAATGCTGTAGTTTTCAACTTATTTCTATCCCTAAAAACATCTGAATCCAACATGTATATTTTCTTATACTTACACTCTACTCCCTAAACAATCATGTTAAGAATCACTATCTGGAACTGTAAGAACCAAACAGTAGCCATGAGCCACAAGCAGCTATTCAGAAATTAAAAAGAGGCAAGGACAAATGGAAAGCTGAATTTTTAATTTTATAAAATTTTAATTTATAATATATTAACTATTTAGAAAGATTTAAGTATACCTATAATAACTTCGTATGTAAATTTACTATTTCAACAGTTAATTTTTATGAAATCTAAATATAGATCAAATATTTCTAATAAAAATTTAGTGTTAGCCAGGGGTGGTGGCTCATGCCTGTAATCCTAGCATTTGGGGAGACCAAGGTAGGCGGATTCCTTCAAGATCAGCCTGGTCAACAGGGCGAAACCCCATCTCTTCTAAAAATACAAAGAAAGTAGCTGGGTGTGGTGGCACATGCCTATAATTCCAGCTACTGGGGAGGCTGAGGCAGGAGAATCACTTGAACCCAGGAGGTGGAGGTTGCAGTCAGCCAAAATCGCACCCTGCACTCCAGAATGGGCGACAAAGCGAGACTCCCTCTCAAAAATTAAAAAAAAAAATTTAATGTTATAATTGAGATGTGGAAAATTCAAACTGGTTCTGAAGACTTCATACTAAAAAAGATAATGTAAAATATAAAATAGCTCATTAATAATTCTTTCCTTAATTACATTTCAAAGCTATATTTTAGATCCACTGGTTTAAATAAAATATATTATTAAAATTAATTTCCCTTGTTTCTTTCTACTTTCTTTTTCTCTTTTATAAGCCTAATATTTACAAACATGTATTTTTTGAATGTAGCTACTGAAAAACTTTAAAGTACATACGTGGCACACATTCTATTTCTACTGAATAGTGCTGTCCTAAAGCTTGTATCTAAATGCAGAAGATATTTCATTATGATACATTAATTTGAATACTTCAAACACCTCCTGACCTTTTCACTTGATTGTCTTCTTTTCTTTAGTTGAATAAAATCTGTTTCCACCCTTTCTGCCAGCTCTAGTTTCCTCTTGTTTCTTTTAAATGCAGCTAAACTGAATCCTATAAAATAAAATAAAATTAAAAAAACATTAAATATAACACTTAAGAAATATTAGGGCAATGGGTCAAATAAGATACCTGAAGAGCCTTCCCAGAAGAAACTCCTTAAGAATGTTAAATTAAGGGTTTAAAAAGTCGCTTCAATGTATAGAGATAGTTGGAGAATAAGAGAAATAAACTAAGATTTTAAAATTAAGAAAAAGGTCAAACCCTGAGAAAAAAAGGAGTTCTGTAGGTAGATACTACCTTGGGGCATCTAATGATGCATGCCTCCTCCAACAGTGGTTTTAAAGATCTCTGCACGTAGAAGATAAGAGACGAAACTTCGGCATAATGCAGTGTGAGAAAACACACTGGAGATTATCCACAAAGAAAGGAGAGAGTCACAAAGGTTAATACGCCCAGTGGACAGGAGAATGAGAAAAACGCCACCAGGCACCAAAAAATAATCAAAAATAAAGAAAACATTTTTTAACCCAGAAAACTTGCAAATCTCAGCTTTGGTTCTAGATGTAAAGAGGAAACATCTCCCTAGAAATTTCATATAACTAATGAGGGCATTTAGATATGCTTCCAGTAGAATTCTTATTACCTGTGAGACCTGGAGACAAAAAAGTGATCTCAGCGTAACAGTGCTTCAGAGGGCCTCCAAACACAAATGCAAATACTCTCTAGAAAAATAAACTGGCCTTAGCTTACCCAGACCTCAAGGAACTCCCATGTTTCCATCAACATGTGCTCATAGTTTTAAAAGAAAAATTCATAAAAGAAGAAATTATTTTATGAAAAATTCACGTAAGAAATAAACTACCAAGAATAAAAGCCAGCCAAATATCAGAAAGCATAATCCAACCTGCAAAACCCTCAGGTATTAGAATAATCAAAACAGAATATAACACGTTTATGCTCAGAGAAATAAAGTTATCAAAAATAGGATTAAGCAGCAAGATGATAAACTGACCAGGCTGAGCTGAAGAAAAAATAGAGCTTCAATCAATCAATAAGATAATCAAAATTTTTAAACTTGATATACCAATTTTAACAGCCAATTAGATCTGGCTAATAAGATAAATTACAAACTGGAATATAACACTGAAGAAGTTACTAAAGTTTTCTGATAATGGCAGACTAAATTATTCAGAGTAATTATCCATGGAATAGTCCTAAAAATGTTGGGTAAAATATTTAAAATACCACCTTAAAAGCATTCAAAACCTTACAACTACTAAGCTAAATTATTGGATAAACTGAGGACTAAAGGTGTTACTGCGCTGCTAACATTTGCCAACACTAGCACACATGTATTTGATTAAATGGCATCAAGGAGAGGCATACATCAAGCCCAGAGCCCATTAAGAGTAGAGAGTTTTATAGGAGACACTTCCCACAATAAACTGGGAATTTAAAGGGCTAATACTCTTAGAGTAAAGCTAATCCATAACTAAGTCCATTATTCCTTCTATCTCAAAAGCAAATACATGCAGGTAGTATTGTCCCAGATTATAGCAGAGCATGAGACCAACAGAAGGTTGAGGGAGAAAATAGGGAGAAGGCAGAGAAAAAGAAAGAACAAAGGATTTGAAAGAGGCAGGGAAAGATTTTATCTCTGAAAACCTTTTGGTCTCATGCGGCCCTTGCATAGATTTACAAATATACGCACTGTACGGTCCCAAAAGGAAAAGAAAGAGAGAAGGAGAAGATGGTTAACTTGAAGAAATAATAGATGAAAACTTTCCAAATTTGATGAAAGATATGAATATGAATATAAACATCCAAGAAACTCAAGAAACTCCAAGTATGAAAACTGAGAGATCTATATACCAAGGCACACTGTCAAAGGCCAAAGACAAAGAGAGAATCTTGAAAAGCAGATCATCCCCTACTAGGGATCCCCAATAAAATTATAAGCAGATTTCTCATTAGAAACTTTGGAAGCTGGACACAATGAGTTAATAAATTCAAAGTGCTGAAACAACAAAAGCATCAACCAAGAATCCTTGCTGTAGCCAAACGGTCCTTCAAAAATGAGGGGCAAATTAAAATATTATCAGATAAACAAAAACTGAGACAGTTCATTTTTACTGGACCTACCCTGCAAGAAATGCTAACGGAAATCCTTCAGGTTAAAATGAAAGAACCTTAGACAGAACTCAAAGCTGTAAATAATGATCGCTGATAAATACATGTAAAAAGACTACTGCAAAAGCTAGTCTTATTATAATTTTGGTTTCTAACTATGCTTTTTGTTTTGTACATGATTTTATTTTATTTATTTATTTTTGAGACAGAGTCTTGCTCTGTCACCCAGGCTAAGCGCAGTGGCGCAATCTCAGCTCTCTGCAACCTCTGCCTCCCAGGTTCAAGTGATTCTCTTACCTCAGCCTCCCAAGTAGCTGAGATTACAGGTACACACCAGCATGCTTGGCTACTTTTTTTTTATTTTTAGTAGAGATGGGGTTTCGCCATGTTGGCCAGGCTGGTCTCAAACTCGTGACCTCAGGTGATTCGCCTCTGCCTCCCAAAGTGCTGGGATTACAGAAGTAAGCCATCACGCCTCGCTTATTTTCTACATGATTTTTAGAAACTAAAGCATTAAAACCCTATCATTCTGTTTCAGGACAGACAATGGGAAAAGATACAATTTTATAAAAGAGGGGTGGGATAGATCTGTTTAAAAACAGAATTTTTATTTGTTATTGAAGTTAAGCTAGTCTAAATTCAAACTAAAGTGTTATAATTTTAGAATGTTAAATGTAATCCCCATCATAACCCCACAAAAAAAGCAAGATACACAAAAGAAAATGAAAAGAGAACAACACAATAAACCAAGTAGATCTAAAAGACATAAACAGAAAATTCTATTCAATAACAGAATTGACATTCTTCTCAAGTTCATTTGGAACATTTTCCAAAATGTCTCATTTGTGTGTGAGCACAAATCAAATCTCAATAAACTGTAAAAGATAGGTATTGTATAATGTATCTTCTCCAGCTAAAACAGATGAAGTTAGAAATCAATAGAAGAAGACTGGAAAACGCACAAATTGTGTAAACTAAAATACAGAAAGAAATCACAAGGGAAATTAGAAAATGCTTAGATATGAATAAAAATTAATATGTCAAAACCTACAAAGTACATCAAAACCCTTATAAAGGAAAAATGTTATGGCTATATGCACATTAAAAAAGAAGAAAGATTTCAGCTGGGCATGGTGGCTCATGCCTGTAATCCCAGCACTTTGAGGGGGGCAACACAGGTGGATCTCCTGAGGTCAGGAGTTCAAGACCAGCCTGATCAACATGAAGAAACCCCATTTTTACTAAAAATACAAAATTAGCTGGGTGTGGTGGCACATGCCTGTAATCCCAGCTACTCAAGATGCTGAGGCAGGAGAATCGCTTGAACCCAGGAGGCACAGTTGCAATGAGCGAAGATCATGCCACTGGACTCCAGCCTGGCCAACAAGAGTGAAACTCCGTCTTGAAAAAAACAAAACAAAATTTAAAAAAAGAAGAAAGATTTCAAACAACAACCTAGCTTTAAAACTTAAGGAACTAGAAAAAGAAGAATTAAACCCAAAGTTATCAGAACAAAGGAAATAAAGATCAGAGACAAATAAAATAGATAATACAAAAACAATGGAGAAAAATAAAATCAAAAGTTAGTTCATAGAAAAGATTAACAAAATTTAAGATCTTTAGCTAGATTAAGAAAAAAAGAAGGCCAGGAACAGTGGCTCATGCCTGTAATCCCAGTACTTTGGGAGGCCGAGGCAGGAGGATTATGAGGTCAGGAGTCTGAGACCAGACTGACCAACATGGTGAAACCCTGTCTCCACTAAAAATACAAAAATTAGCTGGGCATGATGGCACGCGCCTGTAATCCCAGCTACTCAGGAGGCTGAGGCAGGAGAATAGCTTGAACACGGGTGGCGGAAGTTGCAGTGAGTCACGATCGTGCCACTGCACTCCAGCCTTGGCAACAGAGTGAGACTCTATCTCAGAAAAAAAAAAAGAAAAAAGAAAAAATAAGACATATTACTATAATCAGAAATCAAAGTGGGCACATTACTATTGATTCTTCAAAAATAAAAAGTATTTTAGGCCAGGCACAGTGGCTCACACCTGTAATCTCAACATTTTGGGAGGCCAACGTGGGTAAATCACTTCAGCACAGGAATTTAAGACCAACCTGAGCAACATGGTGAAACCCTGTCTCTACAAAAAATACAAAAGTTTAGCCATGCATGGTGGCATGCACCTGTAGTCCCAGCTACACCAGCAGCTGAGGTGGGAGGACCATCTTAGTTTGGGAAGTCAAGGTTGCAGTGAGCCATGTTTGCACCACTGCACTCCAGCCTGGGCAACAGAGCAAGACCTTGTCTCTCAAAAAAAAAAAATTGTACCTGTATATGCGTGTGTGTGTGTGTGTGTGTGTGTGTGTGTGTGTGTGTAAATACCTATATATGTGTATATATACATACACTTGTACACACACATACACACACACACACACACACACACACACACACACACATATAAATAAGAGAGTTCTATGAACAATTACATACCCAAAAACTGGATGGCCTAAACAAAATTAACAAAGTCCAAAACCACAAAACCTACCAAGACTGCATCATGAAGAAACAGAAAATCTGAATTAACCCATAACTAGTAAGGAGAATGAATCAATAATCCAAACTCTTCCAGCAAAAAAAATCCTCAGACTTCATGGTTTCACTGAAGCATTCTAGACAACATTTAAACAACAGACACCGAAAAAATTAACAAAGAGGAAACACTTTCAGTCATTCTATGAGGCCAGCATTATCCTAATACCCAAACCATACAAAGACACCATAAGAAAGCTACCAACCAATACCCCTACGAACATTGATGCAAAATTCCTCAACAAAATACTGTCAAACCAAATGCAGCAGCATATTAAAATGATAATACACAATGATGAAGTGCAATTTATTCCTAAGAAGCAAAGGTCA